GTCTTTAGAGTTGCCCTGGTTCCTATGACAGGATTCTGGTACAGATGCACCTCTGTGAGCCAGTATGGCTGTTCCTATATTAATTTTCAAATCTCTCCCAATTTTTAATTGATAATTTCAACTGTACCTTTTGACACATGCTTCTATCATGTCAGTGGCCATGAGTTTAAGTCTCTGCTCTAAATGATGGGCAAATTCTGGTTCTGGCCAGTGAAGATCGAAAACAAACATCTGCAGAGCATCCAGTTTCCAGAAAAGATCTTCTGATGTAGCTGATCCATTGCTATAAGAGACAAAACAAAACAAAGCCCCCAAGAAACAGAAGATAAATGTATGGATGTCTATCCCAGATGCCACAGAATTATCTAAGGTAATAAGATCTCCTTATCACACCATCTTCCTCCTTCATTTCCCTGTATTTTTAGCACAGTTGCTCTTATTCCAAAAATGTGAAAATAGTCATGTAAAACTTGAATAATTCCCATTAGGGTGAAAAAAAGTAAAGTTTACTCATCTATTAACTGAGAAATATGACAGGCTAGGAGGCAGATGGGATGTTGAGCAACATGGAAAATGAAGCAGCTCAAATTTCAGATCAAGAGAGGAAAAACATAGGGTACAGGAGTCATTAATTAATAGTAAGGGCCTTTTCAAAACAGTGAAGACTTTGTGCATAGGTTTTGTAGCCTTTGTAACCCTGGTAGATAAGCCTATCACAGAAATGAGGGTGCTAGTAGTAATATTGTAAAAGAGATGCCCAGACAAATAGTCCCTTGATAAATGCTCATTAATTCTAACTGAGGGAATAACATCAGGTCCAAGTGGAAAAAAAAGAGGACAGAAACTATTTAAAGAAATTTGTGTACAAACAAACTAGGGGATTAATATGTCTCTATGCCACCTCAGATAGTTCATATTGTTTTAAAGTTCTTCTTTTACCATGAGCTGATTGCTAAATTTAAAGACAATTGCTTCTGATAAAACACAACAATTTAAGGCTAATCTTAGCAGCAACTACAGTTACACTTCCCCTGTCAATGCAGATTCATTACATGTTGCACTGCAATGCTTGGGTTATTGCTTAAGATTACTGTGTACTATGCAGCATGGAATTCCACGATGTTAGTGACACAAGCAACCAAAAGTAAGCCTGACAGTCCTAATTCAGATCCAAATAACTTAAATACACCATGCCTCATGACAAAAGAACAGAGTTATCAAAGTGTTAAGTGACCCCAGCCCTCATGGAAGGAATCAGAGAGTGCTGAGAGTGCTCAGGATAGAGCAGGGTCTGATTCAAAACAAATGAAAACACCAGAAAGGACCTCTAATATCTGACCACCTAATGCACCCCTGAGACAGCAGCAGCACCACTGGCTCACAGCAGGTTAGCTGAGGCAGCAGGCAGTGAAGTGAAGGAAAGCACAGCTCGTGTTCAGAGCCCTGAAGTGGCAGCCTGGATGCAGTAGGAGCATTGCTTCATTCTCACAGCACCCACCACCTCCCAGACCCACCCACCTGCACCCTTACCCCACTGCCTGAACAGCACCACAACTTCAGAGCCTTTGCTGTGTCCTGCAGTGCTGCCTCAGTGCCCAGTGGGGCTGCTGGGCCAGGTGAAGGGCACAGCTGGCGAGGGATGGCAGTGGGTGACACGCTGGGAGCAGGAGCATCTGCCTCAGGGACAGGCTGGCTCTGAGTGACCAGCTCTGGCTTTGGGTTTAAATGGCTCGGGTTTAGACATCTTCACGGTGTATAGCAGGATATTCCACAGTTTCAGATACTGTTTTTAGTTTAGGCTTTTTTGATATCATGCATATTTTCCCTGCTTATTTTAAACAGTAATTGTTAATTTTACATTGTATCATGCTCCAAAAAGAAAACAGCAGAAACAGGAAAAAAGGCCCATGGGACTGCTAAGGTTCCAACTTGTGCAGGCATTCTACCTTTTAAGGTTGGACCTGAACAGGGACCAATTTTATACATTACTAAGTTCAATTAATGAATAGAAAGAAAACAACCAACCAAAACTTTTGGAAAATTTACAATCCAGTTAGACTGTTTCTTAAGTTATATGAAAGCAGATGTTGGAGATGTCATCACATCTGCTGTGTACACTGGCAGTGAGTGAAGCTGTATATGCTATGTATATACACATCTGATTCAGAAGTGACTAAGTTAATTTTTGAGATGACTGGGGTAAAAGAATATGACAAATCATGTAGCAACAGAAATAGGAACCATTTCAGTATATATATTGCAGTTGATAAAAACAAATATTTTCTAGAAAACAAACCACACTTTCTCAAGAAACAGAACTAACCGTTTTCACCATCAAATCATACAATTTAACCATTTTTTATTCTTCCACTGCTTCTTTTTCTTTTTTTTGCCTAATGGAATTCCAAATTAAATTCTTTAGAACTCAGGAGGACTAATGTGTTCATAATAACATAAATGTATTCTTATGCATGTGTACTCCCTAAAAGCCACTTAATTTGGTTTCATTAGACTACCAAACAAAGTTTCACAATTATAATAATTATTATAAATGTAATAACAGACACAGGTTCATAGAAGACTAATTCATTCTGTGAGAAACAGCAATTCATTCAATCAATTCGTATCATTTTGAGCTCCCATTCTTCAGTTTTTTACTCAGCATTACCCAACACCATTTGAATTTGACTAACATATTATACTAACAAGATGGGGAAGGAAAATAAACTGCTACAACAGAAGCTCAGTGTTTCTCATTCAACACAAATACCTAATTTGTTTGTTAAATGCTGCAGAAAAAAGAGCTAAACTCAGATTTTACCTCCTCCTGGCAAGAGGAGGACTTTCTGCTTTCAAATCAAACCTGAGTCTACACTCATAATTTCAGAACCTTTTCTTTTTTTTTTTTGTGAAGGGACAGGACAAATTCTTGGTTATTGAAAAGTTTTCATTTAAATGTGTATGGTAAAGCTACTTCAGTCCAATGAATGGAATAATATTGCTCTACCAGGAAAGCAAACTGATACCCTTTCTTGAAAAACTATATTCAATAGTTACCTATAGTTTTAAGAGTAAGCACAAGCTCCACTGCTTTGCTGGTCAAAACTTAAGGTTTCAGATACTATTTAGTTGTCCACTCTTTTTAATCAGGACATGGCAGTAAGAGAAGGTTATCAATGATGTAAAAAGGCAAATATTATGCCCATATGGTTAAATTTCCATTTTTTTATAATGGGAATTAAACTTTGCATTTGGTCACACTTTGACTGAGTGAGTGGACCAGGCATCTCCAGAGGTCCATTTTAACCTAAATTATTTCATGGCTTTATGCCTTGCGTCATGCTGAACACAGCACAAAATGGTCCATGAGATAATGTTTCTCCAAGAAAGTTTCTCCTGCAGCAAATCAAATCTAGGAGCTGCATACAATCTTCTAAGTAATTCACTCATCCACTAACAGCTGAGAGAGGCAGCTTCCCACTAGGCTTGCCAGGTACCTATCAGTAGCAACAGTCCACTAATAAAGCACACTGGCTGCAAGATGATTGCACACATGACTCCAGAGTAGACGTAGAATAAATAATTTCTTGTCTAGATATGAAACTCCATTGGGTAGCTTGGGATATGAAAATATAGGAGAAATATAAAATATCTTAGAAGATTATCCATCAACCAAAAGATTCAAAAGCAGCTGGCTTCCATTCTTCTAGAATTTACCAAGGGCGACGACAATGATTTTATAAATTACTGCAAATATCTTTTTTTTTAAGGTTACTACTGAGATCCTACCCATTAGAGGTTTGTGAGGACTGTTTACAAAACAAGGTGAAGCTTTACATCCTTTGTCAGCCCCCAGCTAGTGAGCTACAGCTTTACTTTCTTTACGCTGCCTCAAGATGTATGTTCAGGGCTCAGACGATCAATTGAGAATCTCTTCAACAGAAAAGGATTTTCAATAATTTCAGTCACTTTCACTTAGCCCCATCTCTTTACTTTCCACCAGCAGATGAGGGGGAAGGATGGAGTAGAATTTTGGCAAATAACAGCTTGTGTAAAGTCCCTTAAAGACATAAAGGACAGAATTATCTCATGATTTTTCCTAGTTCAAGAGTGAGGCAACCTGAGGATCAAGCAATGAAAGCACGTTTCTTGAATCTCCTTTCTTACTGCATATTATTATTTTGGGAAGACAAGGAACTAGCTATATTCAAAACTCCTTATTCCAAAGAAAGAAGATCAGCTAAATTTCACTATTCTATCACTCCTATGGCTATACTTTTAAATACCCATCCTTAAAATTGCAGACCATGGCCTCCTACCACTTTGTACTGGAGGTAAGCACTATGACAGGAACTTATGTGGTGCTGCAGATGCAACCCCTCAAAACAGATGCAACATAGCCTACTGACTCGTTCAGTACACATAAACACACAGAGAGGCCCAACATGAGAGCTCAGATATACTCAGACCAGCTTCCTTCATATCACAATCAGTGCGCTGTGACTGCTCCAGTTGGTCTCTCTTGTCATTCATTATAGCTGAGCCATAGCAGGATGTAGCTGACATATTTCCTTTGACTGCCTGTACTGGTTGGAAGACAGGACTATCCTAAAAGCTTATAGCTTATTCCGTGTTTCCCCAGCCTTGAGTTTTCCTGAAGCTGATGTTCTAGACTGGCACTGGATAGCAACAGACAACCTCAGGTCTGTACCTACAATATTGCTGGCCAGTGAATCTATGCCAGGTCTGCATGGAAAATAATAATATATAAATTAAACCATACACAATTTAAATCACCCACAAATCTGACTTAAAAGCCAGGACCAGAAGAGGCAGATGAATTAAATTTAAAATATGAAGAGCAATTTAAAGTAATACATTTAAATAAATGAATAAGGAAAAAAATGCTAATTCTGGCTGATTAGAAGCTTTTATACAATATTTAATTTTTTTTCCTCTCTAAGGTTATCGTCAGCCAAATGGAACAGTAATACACACTGCTCTGCATGTCTAGCCAAGGTGTCCTCCGAGGTGTCTTCTCCTGAGACCAATCAAAAAAACCAGACTACTATTCATAACAATTTCCCCTTTCCATATCTCCCTTTTCAATGCCCAAAACCAATTGAAAATGAGGTCAAGATCTTCCTAAGTGCTGTTATAAGCAGCATATATTTACTGCTCCAAAGCATATGATCAAGGGGAAAAAAAGGAACAGCTACTTAAAAATATAAACAATCTTTGCTAGCAGTGTTCAAAAGAATTGCAGCAACTTTACAGTGAAAGAAGGGAAAATCTATTTCCATCAATAAAGTACACAAAGGGATGCCTAACTGTGAATATATTTTCACTTCTTTCTCTTCAGCAAAAGTACATGGGTAGATACATAACGGCTCTATTGAGTATGAAGGTACTTAAATGTGAACTCAAGAGCATGAACAGGAAATTAGTAAAGTTTGAAGAATATTAAACCTCTTCCTATTGCAGACAAACCAGACAAAGGAGTTGGCATTCTCAGTAAACCTTTAAATGTAATGTAGTAGGCTCACAGACTGCTTTTTCTCATTCTTTTTGCCTGTAGTTTCTTCATTGTGTAATTCAAATTGATAATGATTAATTGGCCCAAATCATCACTTTCAAAGAGAAAGAAAAGTCCAGCAGAACTTCGTCATAAACATAGTCATTTTCTTGACAAAGCATCAGCTTTGCGGTGGTGAGGAGGAAGCACAGTGAACTGGGAAAGAAAGACTTGGGGGAGTCAGTGGAGAGGAGGAGCCACCTGTGATGACTGAGAAAACAGGGCCTGGGCTGCTGGATTTAGATGCCTCTACTGACTATATGTGCCATACAATATGCTACTCTAGTCCATTTAAGCTGGGTGTTCATCACATGGAAAGGGAAAACTGTCAGAAAATACTGGGTTTCGTTTAATGTATTGGAGCATAGTTATTGGGTTACTACCCATTGAAGGATTCAACTAGTAAGAGGAAACTTCATTCTTTCTGAAGAAGATGGGATGGAAGAAGAGGGGGAAATAAAGTACTTCTCCTTTCTTCACATAATAGTGAAAATAAATCAATTCCTCTGTCGGATGCTGAGATTCTGTTGCCAGCAGGAAAAAGGAAACTCCTTGGCATGGGAGGAGGAATAACTGGCTTGCAGTACCTTTGCTCTTTTTTTTGGATGTAAATACACAGCCATTCTGAGAAGTTACTTGGATCTTCGGTAGGATGTAGGTAGGCTGATTATTAAATTACTGCCTGAATGCCAGAGTATTACAAAGTTGAATTAACACTACCTGCAATTGTGATTGTCAACTCATACACATTTTGTAAAATATGCAGTGTGGAAAAAGAACATGAAGAGATGCCTATGTCAGAGCCAGCACCTTGGCAGACCTCTTCTTGAATGTTGTGTGGGGTGGCTGAAAGGGGCTGCTGACCTTATAAAGGTCACACTGCAGCAGAATAACAGCTACTGCTGGCAAGTGCTTACAGCAAGTCAACCTCACCGATCATCAAATGCTATGCCAACCTCACTGATTATTTTAGGAGGTTATGTCTTCTTTGTCATACATAGAAGTTGTGCAAGGGGGATAAGAGCACAGTTGAATTTTACTATGCTTGCACATAGTTTGATAACTAAGTCTAGGAATTTATTGCTGCACCAAATCCTTTATTTAGGAAAGATTGATCACTGTAATCCTCAAAACAGAATCTGTATTTATTATATATTAATTATAAATTCAATGTTCAAAGTGCATCAATTTTAATCCATACAAGTTATTTTTACTGCTGCTAGAACACACACTGTAAGAAGAGCAAATGTAAGATTAGTAACTCTTAACTCTGAAAGCTATTCTTCAACAAAAAGGTGACCCTTGAAAACAGGGATGACAGAAAGGAATTTGAGTAGTGGAAGACCAATTAGTTTGTATTCAAAGCCAAAATGACTTGCATAAGCACATCACGAGAAACCTAGCATTATTACAGCAAACACAAAAGGTACCAAAGTAAAAGATCAAGAGGAATTTTGTCAATATTTAGAGGAATTAGCAGCAGAACAACAATGATAATACTCCCTTGTTACAAGCAATCACATGATAAAGATGAAGGGTAATGGGTTTGAGTTACTTCTGGGGAAATTTTGATTGGAAATAAGAGGAAAATTTTGCACAATGAGGACAATCAGCTATTGAAATAATCTACCCCAAGGAAAGTGGTGGATCCCCCATTTTTAAGATTCAGCTGACCAGAGTGATGGGCCACCCTAGACCATGCTTTTGCCAGGAAAGGTGGGACAAGATGACCCTTGATGTCCCTTTCAACATGGTATTCTGTGATTCCATGAACGTCTCCAGTAATGGATCTGAGTGCTTGATAGGAGTGTTTAACTCTGTCATAAGACTTGACAAGACAATACTTAGCTTGAAATCATATTATCAAGCTTTGTGTCTGGAATGTGTGTTTTTTGAAGTCTTCCACATTCATTCTTTCCTAATGCAACTTTTGCTAAAATATGGCTCTTCTTGAGCCTTTCTCTAACGTATATGAATGTGTCCTCACACAGAACTCTGACCGGTACCTATGGGAATATTCCCACAGCACAGGGTATGTATAGTCTAATTTGGTTTTTTTTTAGAAGAGAACACTGAAGTATTGGGAGAAATCAGAAAGAAATAATTTTTTTGTTCCCAAACAAAGAAGTACTTCTATTGTGGGTACTTCTTACCTTTTCATTATTTTCCTGTAACATGGATAATTAATCTAACAACAATAATTGCAATCAATGATTTTCAGAACCAATACACAATGAGTTAATCAAACCCATGCAAAAACATGATGGGCTGCCTCACTAGAATCAATTATCCAAAGGATTCCCCACTGCTTATGAATTCAAAAGCATCATTAAGTTGTTTAGAGTATCAAACATCATTTAAACTGTGACAGACCTCTGCCAAGTTGATGTTTTAAGTTATCAGGTTTAAGACTGCTACATTTTAATGCACTAGAAAGCGCAACTCACTAACAGTCCATGCTTGGCTCAGTCCCAAGAAACAATAATTTCCAACTAAGAGATGATAAACACCATGCAATCCAAAAACAGCTGCACAGAACACTAGCAAGGCCATGCAGAGCTGACATACAGTCAGAAGGTTATTGAAGAATACACACGTGGATTCATACAAAGAAGTCATCCAGGTTGGTGTAGTAAAGCTAGGCATTTGTGGAAGATTAACAGGCAAACTTGGAACTTTTGGAAGAGCTACATTAGGAAGACTGTTGGTGATGCTCCTGCGAAGAAATAAACAATGTAGGAATACAATAAAAAATAGAATATTTAGAGGACAATGGGGGAGAACACCTTATTAGACAGAAAGCTACAGGCAGGTGCTTTGTTCAGATACTGTAAAAAGCACTTACTTGACAGGTTGCCATGACTCTTGCTCAAGACCTCTGTGAATGGACTGGGCAATTGATGATTCCATGAGATCGATGTAGCGGACAACCATGGGAACAAAAATTTCTTGCAAGTGCTTGTGAAACTTTCCATTGCACAATAATGCTTTAAAAGCAAACACAGCACAAATAAAAAATGTCAGACCTTTCTCTGCTTTATTTTGTTATAGGAAAAAGTATATCTTAAAATGTTTTGATACACAAAAGCATTGCAGGAATAAGATCCAGCTTGGGTAGGAAATACAGTTCAGAAAAGGTAAATTGTTTCTTGAGGACAGTGCAGTATATTTTAAACTGTCAGTGTAATAAAAACTAGGCACATACTGAAGTTCATTATTGAACCAGAACATTTTTACATCTTCTTAAAATTAATAATAGACTTTTCTGAATCTAAGCATTAGGAATATTGTTCATTACTTACTTACCAAGACTGAACAAAAAAACCTCAAACAAAACCCCCATATTTGAATGTCATTCATAAGCAGTAGAAAATAACCTGCTTCACAGACGAGATTCACTACATGAAAAACTGTATACACAGTGCAAACTGAAGATGCATAAAACTTCAAAATTAGTTTGTCACCACGACTTTTTGTCCCTATACTCACTCAGTCTCTTGCTTAGAATTTTGAAACTTAGCTAATTTCAACCACATTTGACATCAGATATATGAAGTTTCATGAAAACAGGCAGTTAGGTAGCAGACAGAGATTACTCGGGTTTCCACTGAGAAAAAGGCAGCGGCATAGGATCATCTCTTTATTAAACACTTGAGAATCCACCCTTGAGAGTACCTATGAGTCCATCACAAACATGCTCCATTATTTACACTTCTTCGAGAATCACTTGTTAACTAGTTCGTTCTGGATTAATTTTTTGTATATCAGGAACTCAAACCTGTTAGTTTTCTACATTTACAATTATTTTATATGTCTTAAAACTGCAGCATCTGTGGCCAGCAACAAGAACGACTGAGGAGGATTTGAATGTTAACACAAAGGTTTCACAGTAAAGGGCTGATGAACATTGCCTTTGAGTAAAAAATTGTGGCTGGTATCCATTTGCAAATTAAGCTGATTTTTTTCAAGGCAACTTTGTGCTTACAAACAACAACAAGAATACAACTGTTGATTAATTCAATCTTGCTGCTTTATTGTGAACCACTGCAGGACTGTAATTAACCAGGCAATCGCAGTTACTTGAAGGGATAAGGTTGTATTTTAGTGTTTTCTGAGCACACTGCAGAAATGCTCCGATACAAGCCCTGCTCTGGGAATTACAGTAATGAAGCCTCGTGGGCAGGAGGGTGACTCTTGTTATTCCGAAGTCAGAATGAAATTTAAAGAAGTCACAGGCAATAAAAGAGGTTTAACTTAAAAAGGTGAATCGTTTTCCTAACACCATGATACTAGTCTTTACAGGGAAGTGAAACTTTCCAAAATTATGCCAAGACTTATTATCACTGCACCTCCACAGAGATCCCTCTGTAAGTGGGCACACACATGAGAGTGCTGTCTCGGATCAACAACTCTGTGAGCATTCTGTTTGCCCAGGGTTCAGGACATGCCAGCTCTGATTTGCCCATCTGGAGGTCTCTGTCAAGGATTAATGCAGGGCAGGGAAAGAACTCAGAGCACAGGGGTAAGTGATACACCTGAGTGTCATCATCAGATTCATGGCACTCTACCTCATGATTAGAATTGATCTTGCCAAAAGGTACCACCTGTGCATCAAAAGAGATGGGAAACAAGAGATCCTTGAGGATATGCCACACTTCAAATCCCTCAACTGCCACTCGTCTTCAAAGATATGTAGCTTAATTCTCCACTGTCTTGTCAATATAGACACCCCAAACCCTCTTCATACAAGTCATCTCATACTCACACAAGCAACAACAAAATGAAAGCTTATGCCAGGGCAAGATAATGCAAAGGCAAGATTAAAGGAAAACGCATTGCATGAACAGAAACAGACCCTCAAATGAGAAATTCTCAAAGTGATAAAGTTGAAGATGAAAATTATTAAATTTGTACTTATTAGGTAACTGAAATATACTACAATATGACCAGAAAATACCAGAGATGAAAACTGCAGTCTAATTATACAGCACAGGAATGAGGTTTTGTCTCCAATAGTGGAAAAAGAATCTACTGTGCTTGTGTACAACAGAAGCTGTGGGGCTTCTTTTGCTTTTACTTACACAGGCACATTTTAGGAATTATTCTGGAGTCATGCTGTCCTCAAGAGCTTTTGCAGAATCAAAGGAAAGGAAGAATGACACAGGTTAACATGAGTCTTTTCTGCTGACAAAATTAGCACTTTGGCAGACAGTCTATAATTATCCCACTCTTCATAGGATTCTAGGGAAGGCACCACTTGGGTTTTCTGGCATATTTTTAAATGCAAAATAAAAAAGGGTAAATTTCAAGAAGATAATATCTTTGAGGGTCCATATTATATATGTAGCAATTGAAACTCAACCAATAACACGTGAAAAGAAAGTTTGCATTTACATCAATTTCCTATTTATATTACATTCTGCCTCCACAGAGCATTTTTTGATCAGCTACTTAAATTGTAGCAAATGTTGCAAGTGTCTCAGCTTATATAGAAATTATATTTTTATACACAAGGCACACTTTAAAAGTGAATTTTAGAGACGTACTACATGGAAGCAAGCTGAAAATTTATTTAATCTTCACAAAACAGTGTGCCATGAACAGGTTATTGCACAATTTACCTTTGTCTTAAACTCCCATTCAGTCAAAAAAGTTTATTGCATATTCTGGTTAGGAATAGTGCAGCTTGAGTTAGCTCACAGTATCAGTAACCAAGCCATGTAGCTCTTACCTGAAGGCAGGCTGTAATTTCAAATCAGCTCCTAATAGGACTGAGCAAGAATCATGTTGAGATCTGTTATCACTGTACAATCTGTAATGCTTTACACAGTCGGGCATAATTGTGTACGAACAATAGAAACTTTGGAGATCATTAAAATGTGTACTATAAAAGCTGCTACAGTATTTTTTTCAAACCTTACATTTTGAATAATAATAAATTTATCTTCAATCTATTATCATCTCCACAGGGAATGTAATTTTGAAGTTGATTTTGTAATTAGCTCTCATCAGAAAAGTTAAAATATTATATAAGATGGGAAGATTCTATTCCTCCATCCATTTTTTAAAGTAGTTCTTCAGTTAGAATTAACAGGAGTGCAATCACTGATGAACTCTCCCTTGTTGTGGAGTAAGGTCAGAAAAAAAATGGAGAAGTTAAAGGTGACTCAAAATGGAGTCCTACATAATAGAAATGAGACGCTTCAGTCAGGACTTCTCCATCCTCCCATCTTACTTCATGAGAAGTTATATGCTGTATTGGCAAAACCATTTTTTTTCTCACCGTTAATTGAATATTGGCTTTGAAGTATTTGGCTTGAATCTTGTACAATGTTTTGTATACTGTGTAAAATAACACATTCACTCTTATTTGAATGGCCAAGACTATGCATTTTCATTATCTCATAGGCTTCCTAATACTATATTTTAGTGACATAGTTATAAAAATAGTCTTACATGTAAGTTCTTTTTAATGCTGTAAATGCAAGATTGTTTCTTTATTGTTAGGAGTTCTTTCATGTCAGGTTTATGTGAAAACTGATTCCTGCACCGCCTATTTAGAACTCATTTAAAGCTCCTGAGATAGAATAACATGCAGGTGTCAGTCCTCCAAATTTCACTGAAGATTAACCTAATATGCAATATGGTGACCTAACAGTTCTTCATTTGAAAAAAATCTGAAAAGTAATCTCTGATATAGCCAGAGAGTGAGAATAACCCAGTGGGATTTCTACCTCTTCATTTCCTAATGAGTTTTTTTATAATGAGAGGTGACTTTGCCAGTCACTGTGGGCTCTATTATGGCTAATTTACTCCACTTCACTCTCCTTGTTAATTATTAACACTAGCCTTTTTATCCTCGTGAGACCACATTCCAGTTTTTCCCTTTTTCTTTCTAAATCTATCTTTATGAAGGTGATAGTTTTCTGGAAAAGATTTTCACTTAGGGTAAAGTCAGAACGATTTATTTTATTTTGGAAGAGTGTAAAATTGACTATATAAGCATGGGAAGCTCTTTCTAATGGTTTTAATGCACTTAAAAGGTGAAAAGGCTGTTAATTAAAGAATAAGCACTGAGGTATGTTCCACTTGGGAATCAGTTCTTGGTAGAATGGTCACTTGCTACTTGCTAACATATCCTCCGATTAAAAGGTGACTAATTTCCATGGTTGCTTTCCAATAGTTCTGGGGGAAAAAAAAGAGTGTATAATTTTCCAGATGGCTTTCACTTGCCAGAAACTGTAATTTACTGTATCTATTACCATTAGGGAATTACTGAAATTGGTATACAGGTGTGACATTTCATACAACAGTCATTACATATCCTTCAGTTAAAATTTTACAATGTTTATAATGATTACTTTAACATGAAAGTTTTCATAAAATGCCTCTCCTAAGGCTGCTCTAATAATTTACCATTATTATCCATTTAATCATTCAAAAAACCAGTAGCCTACCAGCAACCTCTTTGCACATGAGGACAACCTTTCCTTGTTTCTAACACTTCTCTCAGATTGGACCCAAAGCTCAAAGGAACACAAACGACACAATAACGAAGTTATGAACAGTGTCACAAATCCTTCTGGTGAGAACAAATAAATACCTACAGTTTTCAGAAACCAAATAATTGTTTTAAGTGCATAAAACATCACAACTAGAAACGAGTTTCCTAAACTGAGTATGTAAAACGATGGGAAAGATATCTGAATGCAGGCTTCAGATTTTTAATCTGGAATTTAGATGATCAGCCACTTAAAGTAGTGCACAACCTACCTTGCATGAGTCTAACTCTTCTCAGACTTGCACCAAGATTAAACAATTCCTACACCCGTCTGAGCAGTCTTCTAAATTGAGCTTAAATGATACCATCATGCCAATTTTAATAAGTTTCTGAAGTTGCTGTTGGTCCAACAAAGGATCCAAACGGAACATTTGTTTTATCTTACTCCACTCAAAACCTACAATGCCTTTATAAACATAACTATTCTGAAAGTAGTTCACATGAGGGCTTAGAAGGAAATATTTACAAGTTTATTTAAGCAGCATAGATTAAATACAAACCATCAATTACATCTTATACTACTTGTACATAATTGATTTAAAACTGAGTAGTTTGTGAATCATAAATGGTTAAGAGATTGCCAGAATAAGGACTGAAATGGTGCAAGGATAGAGAGAACCTGCTCAACTTCAAGAAATGGGGCACCAGGATATGTATCATAAAAACAGGCACTGTCACTTTTATTTTGAGCATTATATTATTTAGAAACACATTTCTAAGGTGTGGGCACATTGAAAAATCATATGTATAAAATATGGAAAAAAATTAAGATCTTACTGTCATTTCTGAGGGCGTTATTCAGCAGCTGGAAAAGTGGGAAGCTGTCCCAGGAGTCCTGTGGCTGTGCCTCGAGTGCTGAATCCATATCAACAGAATACAGAGACAAAAACTTCTCTGCATGCTCAGCCAACAATTCTGGCCACCAAGCGAATGCCTGAAAACATGACAAAATACAATTGCTAAACAGAAGTCAAAGCAAAGAGATAGCAAAAAACATCTGGGTTTGTCATGCCATGTCCTGTCTCATTTGGGGAGGAAGAATGGTCCAAGTGGAAAATGTGAAAATATTTTATGAAACCTTGCATTAGGTAATCAGAAGAGATGGTTTTAGTGTGAAATTTTATTCCTTGAAGTCTGAGGGTTTTTTGTAACAGCTACAGAGCACTTTTTAATTCCTATTTTTGCCTTGAAGATGTCAGCTTCTCCTGAGGAGGACATCCAGTTTTCCTTCTATAAATGCTATAAATACATCTTTAGAAGTTCACTAATGTCTGTATTCATTTTCAGTAACTTAACATGTTGAAATATACAGTTTTGTCTGGTAAAAATTTGTATTCTTAGGTGACCCTAGCTTTAAAGAAGAGATCTATGAAAAACAGTGTCAGTAAGCAAAGCTAGCTCCACATTAGAGACATATAACTATTGTACCTTTTTACTGTCACATAAATCTAGGCTTAGAAAGGTCAGTATTGAAGCTGAGCAATGGATCAGAGGGACCTGTACGATTCTGGGGTTAAAGATGAAGGTGAAGTGAGTTTATGAAATAGGATAAATATCACATACTGCTGAGAGCGTTTTGCTCACAGTTTACAAAAATATCTTGCAGTGAGAAATACCTACACAAACAAGATAGGAAAATGTCATTGCTTTCAAACTTATACCACTCATTCTGTGTATCTCATTTTGGATATTTTTGAGTTGCCAGCATGGAACATATGTAGCCTGATCTATACAAGTGCTGAGTCCCCACAACTTCCAATGACGTCACAGAAATCTTCACCTGCATTCCTGAAATTTAGGTCCTAGGTAATGTAGATTTATTTACTCGGGCCTGAAAGGCAACAAATAAAAGACAACTTCTGAAAAGTTTTACATTGTGGACTTTCTGATGACTGCCTGTAGTTCTTTCTGACATGGGGCAAATGGAGAAACAATGAATTTGCAAGAGTTTGGAAAGAAATGCTGATCATCCTTTGCTATTACTGAAAAGTACTTTGTGTGTTGCAGCGTCAGGATTGAAGGATGCCAACTGGCACCACAGTGAGAAGGACATATGAGGCTTCAAAAACTTTGGCAAGAGTTTGAAATGAAGTCTTTTTCATCAATCTGGAAGAAGTTTCTTATTCATAAATTCTGTTTAAATGGGAGCTCATTAAAGGAACAGCCTCTGTGCCCTAGAAAATAACTAAATGCAAAGAAATAAGTAGAGGAAAAAAGTATACAGGCATTGGCAGGTGTCCCTCTAGGCAAGCAAAACTCTTTTCAGAAAACAATGCCAAAAACTCAAAGCAAAACCAAAACCAGAAAATGAGCATGTTTTCCCTCCATTTCTTCCCCTTTGAAAATGATGTTTTGAACCCATACAGAAATTTTTCTGACTCCGTCAAGAACTACCACATCATTACTTAGGTAGCAAGAAAGAAGAACAGAAAAGAAAAAAAAGTTACAGCTAAATGTTACAGCACAGTCATATGGATAATATAAAAACAGACTAAAAGCAATTAGCAACACACATTCTAAGAGAACATAAACATTGACTGGATTAAAGGAAAAATGGAATTCTTAGATTCTAGAATGACACACAAATGTGGCTATACAACAATAGAAATCATCAAAAGAGTTTATGCTAGACATTCAAGGCACAGTTCCATGCTATAAACAGTGAAAAATAATGCTTAGTTCGCCAGGAATCACATACCTCTCTTCCCTTTGGGAATCCCCGAAATTTGTAAATGTTATGAATTAAAAAAAGAAAAAATCTAGTATTAAAAACTGTGATACACTATTTTACAGATTAGTGATCCTTTTCCTTAACTGTACCATCAAACACTGAACTTTTATGTTACATTGTGATGTGAAGTCACCATACTTAATTTTCAGTTTTGCATAGGGAATGTATAATTTTGCAATTTTTTTCTCAGATATATTTTAATATAGAAAATCTATATGCTGTATAAGTTTCAGTAAAATCGAACATTTATTACATGAATAAAGGAAGAGGAAAAGAATCTTAAAATTATCCTTATTCTTTTCAAGCTATCTTAGATTAGATTGAAAACTTTTGTTGAAATCATTTTTCTGAAGACACATGCAATATATTTACCTTTCTGAAAAACACTACATCTCTGATTGAAAATAAGTGGTCTAGACAGTAATCTTCAAACAGAGTTGTTTAATCATACATGCAAGATTTGGACTGAGTTTTTTTTTTCTGTGTTCTTTTCCACAGAAGTCTAATATTCTTACAGTAATGTAGGTCCTCAAAAGACAAAGACAGCATATATACATTTTATTAAAGTAATCATTACAGCGTAGCACAGTGGCAACAGTAGTGTAGAACAGGACCTCCAGGGAATTCATTTCAAGTCATCAAAACAGCTGTTTCTTCAGTATAAGATAAAATATCTATAACAAGTTCACACATGACAGATGTAAGCTAAAAACTAGATTCCATAGTGTGATATAAAACCAGATGTTTTGAATGATCATATTTATAACGACATATACAAATCATGTTTATTCCTTTGCATATTTTTCCCAAAAATATTTATTCATTTTTTTTCAGAACATTTAAAAAACAATTTCCTGAACCTTAGAAAAGTCTATTTATTAATTAAATGTCTATAATATATATAATTGTGTGTATCTGGCCAAGTTTATTTTTGTAATTCCTTGATATAAATGGTACTATAATTCTAAATATTATGGTTTCTTTATCATAAAGCAAAAGGTGTGGGAGTAAGAAATGTAAAATTGTTCTATTTTATTTCTTGTGCCTTTCAGTGTCATTTTAAAAGCACAAGTTTGAAAGTGTACTTTTCCAATCAACAGAAGAGTAATGTGAGTGCAATTATTATAACCATAATTATTTTTAGATCTATAATCTATCTCTATACAGCCTGATGAAAATCAGCATTCTGCTATATTTTCTTTCTATTTTTAACAAGAGGTGAAAAGTTGGAAGGAACAACTGCATAAGGCTCTGAATGTTTTCCATACCATTTCACCACCTCCAGCACAAAGATGCTTTCTCTTTTTCATGCTCTTTAATTTTAATTTCTAAACCTACAGTTCATTCAAGCGAATTCAAGTGGAGCTTTATTTCACTTCACTTTTCATAAGCTTCAAGTCTCTTATTCCCCTGTAAATGTGAACTGCCTTAAACATATGTCAGAAAGTAAAGCTAAAATGTTTCTTGACAGACTTGCTTCACATCAGAGAAAAAAATCCAGGAACAAACCACTCTAAATAGCAAACGCAGTTACGACCTTACCTCTGAATGATGTTCTTCATTTTGCTGCAGTACCTCGATACAGAGTTCTGCAAGGTGAAGAACCTCTTCCAGTTTTCTAGCAGGTGTTGCTTGGTTCATGGTCTCTATATGAATATAAAATGCAAATCAAAATTACTTTAGTTACACATATGATTAAACTATAAGAGAAAATTATGTCAGAAAGTAATGGGAATGGTACAAAGTGACAGTATTCTGAAGTATAAGCAATTTCAAGTGTTAAAGATAATCATTCAATACACATAAAGGGAGCTGAATGTTCAGATCACTAGAAAGAGAAAATAATTCACAAAAGCATCAGTGATCATTGTAAACATTATCTGATTAAATATGTGAGAAATAACAGATGCATCAGTGTATTAGATGCTCAGTTTCTGTGATAAGGAAGTTCTTGTTCTCTCCAAGGTCATAAATACAAAGACAGCAGAAACTGGGAACCTTTTTTGTTATTGTCAGTACAATGACATTCTAGTCAGGTGACTCATTACTGTCATCAGCAAGATTGAGGCATTTTGCAGCAGTCAAACATTCCAAATCTTTCATTTATATAAGATATTCCATTTTAGGCACATTTAAAAGTAAGAAAAGTACAAACCACAATAATTCTAATTTCTGATAACTAATAATTCAAATAACTAATTTCCTATCTGTTGCTCAGCAATGAGTGAATCTGCATTCTTTTCAGCACCATAATGAAAAGTAGCACTATAAAAGAAAGATTTTATAACAAAATAGACAGAAACCTACTAAAAACTCCACAGAAAAGAAGCACAAACGCAAAAGTTACAAATGACATAAGGGTCACTCATTCTACCCAGCAGACTTCAAAAAGAAAGCAACAAAGGTAAAACAAATGTAACTAAAATTCTTACAGGGCAATTTAATGTTGATTATTTTTCCATTAAAAACATGATTAATAGCACTAGATCCTAGAAAGAGTCATGGAGACAGGGGAAGAGTCCAACTGATATTTTTTACAATTATAGTTTAATCAGTAAAATTAATTTGTCCAACTACATAATTTGCGTCATTAGGAATAACTTCAGCATTAGGTATTGGAGCTTGTTTATTTAACTAAGCTCTTGTCACTAAGCATAATCATGGGATGGATAGAAATGATGTACAATATAATAGTATATAAAGTATGGTCTCATTAACCAGGTTTGCAGAGGATTTATAAAACTGGTAACACAAGGAAAGTGAGGGTATCAGGAGCCCTATTTTCTCATTTTCTGTGCATGTTCATGGATCACATGAATAGCAAATCACACGAATGCACATCTTCATACACAGAAAATTCTACTAACATTTCTTCCCCACTTTGCATTCATCATGACATAGAACATTAGCAGATTAATTAAACAATTTACATAATCTCCTTGGTGTCAGTAAGAATATCAAGCTGCACGCAATAAATATTTTTCACACTTAACATTTCTGGCAAGTCAAAGGACCTTTCCAGACATTTTAAAGGCAAGTGACCTTGTCCAGTTCTTCAGCACTAATACACTGATGCATAGTACAGCGATGAAGTATATAGCTTTGGTGCAATTTTTGAAGAAACATTGGATTAGAATCTCCAGCAAACATCTACTTCAAGGTGACTGCAAAGCCACATTGTTTTCATGCAAAAATAAAGGCAGGCAAATTAGTTATTGCAGCAACTCAAAATAATTTTTTCAAATCTTATTAAAATAGACCACATAACCAGATATGTTGAAATGTTTTCCAAACCCACAATCTAATTCAAGAAAGACTTATTGTAGGAACATGGGCCAAGCACAAAACACACACGAGGACACAAAACTACATTCATAATGTCAAGATCACAATTATCAATACTGTACTGTACTGATTTTGCGATTTTTATACTATAGAGTGATTATAAAAGTATAACCACAATCATATTAAATCAAGTGAGATTAGGAAGGACTGGTCCAGCCCCTATCACTTAGGCTACAGTATAAAAAGTGCTATTGGGTTCAGACTAAAACAGTGGTTTCTATGCTTATCCTGGACTGAAATTGCTGTTTCCTCTAGTGGTCAGTGTCCTCCCCTCCCTGAATCCACAGCAAGAACTATTCATGCAGATGATACATCACTAGCAGTGTCACTGATGTTAATGATTCTTAGGAATAAACCTGTGACATTAATACAGAGTATGACTGGCACATCTGATTTCAGCATAAACAACTCATTTTATTACAAATTCAGCCTGATCTTCATTACTTTGCCACTACCTAAGTACACAAAATAATTGCATTCATAATTGCATTCTTTCCTAATGAAATTAAATAAGCTGTAAACTACTCCAAAATTATGCCCTAGAAGGGCTCCTCTAAATGATTAAAAAAGTAATTCTAATAATTATGTTGAATCTGATGTTGTATATTTGCATTGGAATAAGTTATTCCACACCTGCAATTACCTCAAGACAGCCTAAAAATGGCTACTGAACAGACATCATTATCACTAGAGAGAGTAGGAGAAAACAGACTTATTAGCTAACTGTGATATTATCGTGCTGATTCCATTGAGCAAGACAGTAAGGAACTGCACTTCTGGTCATCTGGGCTGAAGTGATGAGTTTTGATCAGAAATGGAAATGAATGGTGTGTTTGAAGGGCATAATAAGACTAATAAAGTGAAGGATGAAATTTGGGATCAGAAATGTTCTGACACAGGCAATGTGGGAATACAGTGTTCCCAAAGTGGAAACACTTGGGCAGAAGACCTGATCAGTGACAATGCTGGCATAAAAATCAATCAGTCATGACAAATAATTTAAGCTAGAAATTGTAAAGTTTTTAGTCATTGTGGGACTAATGTTCAGGAATAGTTTTCTCAATAGGATTAGTGTGTTTATGAGGAAAAGGAGTATGAAAACTGTAAACATCCCTAAGAAGTGAGTATGGCAAGTTTCCGAATGAGGTTTCATGTCAGGAATGACTGAAAATGCAGGACATATAAGTCTGAATGAATTCCAGTTTCAGGTTTTCATGAAACTCACCATATTATTTACTATTTATTAGCTTACTCTAGCTTATGTACTACTTGCTAAAAACATGCAAATTACCCTCAAAGCTTCATACAGCTTTCGATGATATTTTTAAAACCATCATTATTTTCCTTTAAGATTTACTGATATGAAAAGGTGGCAGAGCATTGCACTCACTCTGCATCCTTGGACAAATCTCTTTAATATTACTGTCATTTACTTATCCACAGAATAAATCAGTGCATGCAATTTCTTTTGGATGAAACATATTTTCCTACATTTTACTTCAGCTTGATCTAAAGCTTTCTTTTCCATCTGTAAGTTACCACATCAGCTAGTCATTTTTCTCTGTAACAAAAGACCTTGCACATTCAAAATCTAGGAAATAATGTGTTTTGGATGACCACCATACATGGGTATGTAAACAATGAGCTACGAAGTAATTTGAGAGAGAAAGAATGAAATACTAACTTTATTTTTTTACCAAACAAGTAGTGTATTTGAAATATAAGTAGCAATAAATTCTTATCTGTTTTAGTTTTAGAACCTCCAAAACACCTGAGCAAAACACTGTGCTTATCTTTATAACCATCAAAGATTTACAGGAATGGAAATCAGTGCTGTCAGTTTTCATTATATTCATGATGTCTTTCTTCCCACAACTACTAAGAGTTGTTAAGATGTGTTTACACTGCTCAAACTAACAGGTTGCAGCAGGAGTCGAGTCAGTAAATATGCTGCTTGACATATTTTAGAAAATAAACAGAAAAAGCCATCAATCATTGTTTTCAGCTTCACATTCTGCTGAAATGAAGAAGCAAACCAGGCTTTGCAAATAATGGATGCTTTCTCAAGTATGCATTACCAGTGAGTCACATAGGCACCGAGAAAATATTGTTAAATGAGCTAAGTTAACTGACCAAACTGCTGCTGAAATGAAAAGGTGACTGCTTCATGGACCATGCCTACGGCCACAAGGGACTGTCAGATCATTCAGTCTCACCTCCTGTGTCACACAGGTCAGGGAACATCTCTCCAGTCCTCCTTTCCTGAGACCATCAGGATGTCTAAAACCTAACAACAGTGTGTCTAAAACCCAAAATCAGCTTGTTTTCCAGAAGAGAGTTTATCCTTGACAAGAAATGCACAATTCACCTCTCTCATTTTCTCCCCAGCATGTAATCTGTTAAACATATGTGTTACATTTCTCATTGGCATTTGCTGAGCACAGGAATCTGCTGATTAAAGAGGTAATTCTCCCTGGTTATGAGTACAGTGCAGCTAGGAGGTACCTCTCTCTGGCCTGCCAGTCTCTCTCTGATGGCACAGCATATATCCCTTGCTGGTTTTCCCTGCCCATTGTTTCACCACTCCACCTTTTCTTCAAACAAGCATATCCAGAACAAGACACTCAGGAGAGCCAACCTGTTTCCATGCCAGAGGACCTCCTTGAGACCAATGGCAGGGGTACAGGAAAAAAAGTCAAGTATGCTGAGAGTGCCAAGTTCACAGCCTCTGTGGGCTTACAGGTACCTTTACATCCAGAGAGCTAAATGTGGCAATACATTTTGATGCATGACCAACAATAAACATTTGCTATAAACTGGGAACATGCCAACTGGAAATGATCAAAATTCTGAAGACTGAGTTCAATTAACTTTTCACAGAATGCCACAAACATGAGGCAGACATCAAATACAAGTGTTCCTTGAATATATTATGTTAAGGATTTCTGCTATAATAGTACTGCAAGTACTGTGCAAGGCATCTGACGGGGATGACTTTGCATCTAGTTCTTGTCACCAGTGTTCAAGAAGGTAGAAATCCAACTTCAATAGAGAAAGACTCCTAAGATGATAAAAATGAAGAACAGGAGGCTAAAACTCTGAGACAAGGGGATGAAAATCTAGGTCACATGAGTATAAAAGTCTTGTCTAAAAAAAAAATCATAGGATGTGAGATAACTGGAGATGATGAAATGCTATCCCACCCTCAGGTGCGATACAGAACAAAGCTGGCATGCTAAAAACTGGGAACTAATTTGACTGTAAAGTGATTGATATACCTATTGAACAAACGGGACTTGAA